CCAGCGTATCAATATTCTGCTGATCGTGACCATATGCAGTTCTATGGTGCGGAGGCTGGCCGCGACGGGTCAACTATACGTTGATGCGGCGCGCCAGTGTCCGACAACCATACCAAACCCCATTCCTGGCATCCCCGTCAGGATCCCTCTACTATAAAGAGATAATAGCTTACTTACTCTCACCATTCTCACTAGAGTTCGCACCGTTAAGTGTGCTGCGCTATTACGCTGTCGCGATTGCCACTGCTTTCATCGCTCTCAACTTGCTTGCGCTCTTGCCGCGCTATTGCTTATCGTCGCACAGCTAATCAGCCTTTGCCATGGCGCCAAAGACGCGAGGCTCTGGCGCTGGACGTGGGAGAGGGGGCCGACAGGGGAAGGCGCCAGATCGACCAATCGATCTGACTTACGAGGGGGAGAGATCCGAAGAGGAGGAGGAGGAGAGATGGGAAGGAATGCGCTTGCGCCATCGCTCAGAGGACCGGCGCGGTCGCACTCCGTCGCCTAGGTCCATGATGTACTATACATATGAATACGAGCAGCGCTATGGCAGTACGCCTCCACGCTTCGAACCGCCTTCTCAATCTTACCCCTCGCCATACCATCCTTCCTCCTCTGCTCAACCTCATCCTCACCAACTCACCGTCCTGCCACAGCTGCTTCGCCCTGCGCCACCGCCGTTGCCACTTGACACTTGTACCAGAACCGCTCGTCGTCCACCAGGCCTCGCCGCCCGACCATCGTTTGTGCGTCATGCTTGCGCTGTTTTTCATCTGACAGCTCGAGTTGTGCGGCCTCATATGCTATCTCATATAAAACATATCTGGATCATCAAAGTGCTCGCCCACAAGGCTCGAGTGCTTACTCAATAAGGCATGGACCTCTGGTCCAAGCCACCATAAAAATCAAAGAAGGATTAGTCTTATCAAACTTGCGTGGTGCAGTCACCGCACGCAAATATCATGACCGCTCATGCAGCCCAATCATACTACCGATCCCATTTTCTTGCACTACTGAATCAGTCTCAATCTTAGGTCAAACCTCTCATTAGGTTTGACCTCGTGCATCATCACAATCAGACCCAGCCTTGGACCAAACCCTATCATTAGGTYTGGCCTAGCAGTCCAAGTCTCAGTCCTGGCCTGCTCATCTCAACYTCATCGGATCAGTCCATCTCATCCGCACAATATAATCCTCCTCATCATCTCAGTTACAGTCCAGCCACGGGTGGATATGAGACTAATCATCGAACTCAGGATCATCTGAGTCATCTTGACCAAAAGCCGCCTCATAAGGGGGAAACATACCAAACCCCTTTCTCTTTGTCTGCTGGCTCTGTGCCGCTTACTGTCGGGTCATACCAAACCCCGTTGTCTTCATCTGGCTGGCTGTAGGGTACCTGCAAAACAGAGATCATGTCATGCCAAAAAAAATACGAGAAAAGGGTCTCCCCTAAAGACCCTTGCCAACACCCCTTCCTCACTCACTCTCAGAGTCTTACCTTTCGGCCTTCCAAGAGTGCCCCTGCTCGCCCTGGTGGGCTCCTCCGCTGACCCAACCCGGCAAGCAGAGCAAAGTCAGTCCTGATTCCCAGTCATGGCGGTCCGACCACCCTCTGAGCCCTTGCTCAGAACAGCTCACAGGAAGCCGCACACCCCTTCATGAAGCCCTCACTCCGATGAGTTCAGACCCATGGATCAGAAGCTCATTAGTCGACGTCAGAGCATCTGTCTACTCGCTTGACTTCTTGACTAACGTCCGACTCTATGCAACTGTGCGGGGAGCCAGCCAACACCCGACCAGACCCGGCTAGTGAGTCAAAGCGAGTCCACAATTAAGCTTTGCAACAGTGGGCTAGGAGGCCATAATGGCCCTGTTGCCAGCTGGGCAGTGGATACCTGGCTTGGCCCGATGCCAAGGGAATGCCCCTAGAGACACGGCTTCCTAGAGACACCCCGATCATAGTGATAGTAGGAGTCTACCACCTTGATCAGCCAATTGTCGGATTTAGACTGGGAGAGGCTCGGGATGCCTCCTTCCTTTCCAGCAGGCGGACCAGGTCACCACGCGGTGACTCGGGAACGGCTAACCACCCGAGGGTTCGAGGCTATCAGCCGCTATGGCTCGGACGCCCCGTCAACCCAGTTAGCCTCTGGACCTGTGAGAACCTGCTTCAAGGAATCATCTCTTGCTCAAGAGGCGCAGTTGAAACTCTCTGTCTCTTCATGAAGGACATAAGTGCTAACACCGCAGGGGACGCCGCTGTGGTTAGACTCTCGCCGGTGAACCGTTGCGAGAACCCGGCGGCTGCAATGGGAACACTCCTTTCATCAAGAAGAATGCAGCAAGCTCCTAACCGCTGCGATGCTGAGTGATCTTCGCCCTGACCACAAGATTGGACAGATCACTCCATCGACTATGACACATGACTGACTACCTATCCCTTCAGAGCTCCGCAGTGTCTAACCGCAAAGGCTCATCTGGAGAGGAACCGCATCCGATGATGCTGAGTCCCTTGCCACTAGAACACTTCACTAGGTTAAGCACCACCCTCTTTCAGGAATAACCAATCAACTTGTGTCAGATGATGCTAGGCAATCCTCCTTACGCTATCGTAATAGGAGGTTGCCCCATCAATTGAGCGCTGACTTATGAGAGGAAGAAAACATATTTTCACATTATCCCACAACCATTCATTCCACAATGCCATGCAGACCAATAAAATACAATAAGAGGCAAGAACTGAAATCCCAAGAACTGCCTCCCGATCCCCCAGGCATACCCCAGGACTGACACGTGACAAGCCAGATACAATGCAATGAACTGAAATTTTAAAATTTTAACTTACATTCATACAAAACTGGGGCCAATCTGGCCCCGACAGACACATGAGTCCACCATTGAGCCGAGCCATCATAGGCTGCTCGTATCCAGCTCCGGCATCCGAGATCATACCATAATCATAGCAAGCGGACTGTTGGTTGCAGCTGGCGGCATACGGGCTACGTCCCAGCGTATAATCATCATCTATAGTTGGCGGCACACTGGCCACGTCCCAGCACATAATCGTCATCAATAGCTGGCGGCACACTGTCCACGTCCCAGCATATCATCATCCATAGCCGGCGGCTTACTAGCCACGTCCCAGCACATAATCATCATCAATAGCTGGCGGCACACTGGCCACGTCCCAGCACATAATCAACATCTGTAGCTAGCGGCAACACTGTCCACGTCCCAGCATATCATCATCATCTGTAGCTGGCGGCAACACCGTCCACGTCCCAGCATAAAATCATATGTAGCTAGCGGCAACATTGTCCACGTCCCAGCATAAAATCATCTGTAGCTGGCGGCAACACTGTCCACGTCCCACCATAAAATCATATGTAGCTGGCGGCAACACTGTCCACGTCCCCGCATAAA